AGAGCAGACAGTGACACAGGAGACATCCTGAAAGTGGAGACAAACTCAAGCATTTCCCAGATGGATTTGACCCTTACAAAGTATCTAATTCCTACCTCAGACATCAGCCCAACACTCTTCTGTTGATGGGTTGTTTAATAAGCATTTATTGATTTGTTAAGTGTTCCTTGTTTTAGTTGCAAGTTCCAAGACTCGTAAACAGCTTCCCTGCATCCCTTTGTGTTCCAGAGCCTGGCTGAGGAATATTCAGGATAAGCAGAGAGGGCTGAGCTACAGGAAAGGAGCTCTGGCCACCCAGATTTCTTCAGAGCCCTCAGCACTGTGACCACTTGAGCTCATCTCATCCTCCCAAGTCCTTTATGAGGTAGAGTGAGAACCCCACTGGAGGTTTCTCACAGAGCAGTAACAAAAAGCTGCCTCCACGTCCAACCTCCAATACTTTGTGCAGAAGAAAAGGCCTCATGTTAGTCCCTGCCCACTGCAGGGAGAGGAGGACACAGGGCAGGGAGGTTTGGGAAGCCACGGGACAACTGCACCAGCAATTCAACTTCTGACACTGTTGCTGTTGCAACAACAGAACCCCAAACAGCACCACAGTCACTCTACACATGACCCAGCACAGCTGATGCCACACAAAACCACTACAGCAAAATCCCCTGTGGAGCCAGAGAGTTGATCCATTATTCTTAATCTGGGGGCAAAAAATCCTTAGCCCTGCTCTCCTCCAGGGTCCAGCCCAGTCCAGATCCCAGCCCAGACTGTGTAATCCTGATCTTTGCAGAAAGCCACAAAGCTGAGTTGCTGTCAAAGCTGTGCCTCTCCCTGGGTGGATCTGAAGCCATCACCAGCTTCCCCAGCACTGACAGCCTTTAAAATGACCCTCCAGCAACTGCACCTTGCCCTTTCCAAAAAGGTCACCTCTCAATCCCTCAGTGGTTTCATGAGAAAACCAGGGTCCCCTGGCAGCAAGGTGTCCCCCCTGCAGCTTTATCCAAGGAGGAGCTCATTAACTCACCCTGTTCTGCTGCAGCAAAAGGAGACTCTGGGTTCATGGTGTGGCCCAGTGGATGCACCAAAGGAGACCAACGTGCTCACCCAGTGGCTGCAGGGAGGAAACTTCTCCCTGGAAACCATGGAGAGCACGGGGGAGGCCCAGCTGATGATCCACAAACACCTCCTGGGGTGTGTGAGGGGCCCCACAGATCAGCCCCAGGTCACCCCAAAGGAATAACTCAGATCAGGCTTCTGGAAAAGTGTGCTGCTCCTTCCAGGAAGAGACCTGGGAGATGATGATGATGATGATGAGTATCCAAGAAAGGGGTGGTGAAGCTCAGCAGCAGGACCCTGCTGAAAATAGGGAAGAAAACTCTGGACCACAAAGGCCAGAGACGGGCAGGGCCCACATCCTGCACAGCCTGAGCTTGGCACGTCCAGAAAAACTCATCACACCCAAAATGACAGAATTCCTTCCTAAACACAAACCATTCAGCACAACCAACACCAACAGAGACTAAACCTGGGCTTGACACTTTCTGCTCCCATACTGGTCAAACTGGTTGGCTTTCCAGAAAGGGAATCCCATCCAAGGCACTGCAAACACCATGGACTGGGGTGTTCACAGGATTGTTGGCGCTTGCAGTGGGGAACTGCTGCTTCAGGCTCTCAAACTTCCCCAGGACTGAGTCAGTGCATCAGGTTTGGAGGGTTTGTGCAAACCTGTGTTACCTGCAGAGCTTCAGAGGGAGTCTCTGCTCTGTGAAGTTTTTACACCCACATGTCAGCAGTTTCTCTTTGTGACGGACAGAAAGGGGTTCAGAAGTTCCAAGAACGACAAAGAAAATACACATTCTAAAAAACACATTTCTAAAAATCTTGAACTAATCGACAACCCCTGTAGTTGGGACAGTCAGTCCCATCATCTCTGCTCTTGGCCAGACAGATCTCACTCCTACAGACACAGATTTCAGCAAGTACTAAAACCAGAGAATCACAGGATGGTTTGGGTTGGAAGGCACCTTTAAGCTCATCCAGTTCCACCCCCTGCCATGGGCAGGGACACCTTCCACCAGCCCAAATTGCTCCAAGCCCCGTCCAACCTGGCCTTGGACATTTCCAGGGATCCAGGGGCAGCCACAGCTTCTCTGGGTAACCTGTGCCACCCTCACAGCCAAGAATTCCTTCCTAATACACCCCATCTAACCCTGCCCTCTGGCAGTGGGAAGCCATTCCCTGTGTCCTGTCCCTCCAGGCCCTTGTCCAAGGCCCTCTCATGCAATCCATGTGTAACAGGACTAGGACAGGTTTACATGTGGGACAGTTCATCAGTGGCTCTGTGATGGCCTTGATCACCCTGGGGGTGCAGGGAAAAATCTTTAAGGTCCCTTCTAATCCAACCCCTTCTGGGATTCTGTGTTTCAGCCACAAAAGTCCCTGAAGCTCCCAGGAAACTCATTTCCACAGAGGAAAGAGTGAGTTTTTTGATCAGTAACCACCAATGTTTTGGGTGCTGGAGCTCACAGCACATCCCACTTCACCAAGGCCTCATGAAGAGGCACTGAGACATGTCTCGGTGCTGGGGATGAGAGTTTTGAGTCACAGGGGAAAATAAATGGGATCCAGAAATATTTGAGCAAACACATCAATCACTCCACACTTACTTTTGCCACAAAGCCCCACAACCAGCACAACTGACAAACTCCCTCACACAGACTGGGAATTTTTTTCCTGCTGGGATTGAAGAGCCTCACAGAAGTGCTCTGTGCATCTCTGCCTTCTTCTAGGCCCAGCTCACATGACCCTGGGATTGTTACCATCCCTCTAAACTCAGATTTTTTCCAAGTTCAGGTCACTGAGTGCTATTTGTACTTGTTGCACTTCATTGACAGCACACTGGCAGTGCTGTTACACCTTGAACAAGGACACCTTGAGGTGCAGCAGAGGAGAACCTTTTAAAAGATGAAAAGCTCAGGTACGAGAGAAACTCATGAGAACAACGTGGAAGCAGCAGCAGCAACGGCTGCAGAATCTGCTCTTCCCAAGAAGGGCTCAGTGCAGGCACAGAGAGAGCCTTAAAAAACACCCCAGACAGTGACCAAACCGGTGCAGCCTCAGCCCTTCTGTGAGCGAGCCCAGAGAGGCAAAAAAAGGCGTTTTAATGACCTTGAGCCGAGCTTTGAGCTTTACCTTCTGCAGGAAGAGGACGATCCCGACGAGCATCTTGGCGTGCAGCTCCTCCAGGGTGAACAGCGTGCGGGGCGTGCGGATGAAGAGCTTGGTCTTGCCGTAGGCCACGTCGTGCTGGAAGCCGTGGCACTCGATGAGCTTCCGCACGGCCTCCTTGTCCGAGGGCAGGTCGTGGTTTGGCCACGTGAATTCCGAGATCATCTTGTACCTGGGGAGACAAGGGACAAGCTACAGATGGAGAAGCGTCACTGAGGTCCTCAACGAGGCCAACCTTCAACGGCTTTTAGGACTGATTCAAACGGATCATAGAATCACAGAATCACAGAATCATAGAATCACAGAATCATAGAATCACAGAATCACAGAATCACAGAATCATAGAATCACAGAATCACAGAATCAGACGGGTTGGAAGGGACCTCCAAGATCATCAAGTCCAACCCTTGATCCAACCCCGCTGTGGTTCCCAGCCCATGGCACTGATGCCACATCCAGTCTTGTCTTAAAAACCTCCACGGAGGGAGAATCCACCACTTCCCTGGGCAGCCCATTCCAGTGGCTGATCACCCTCTCTGGAAAGAAATTCTTTCTAATATCCAACCTAAACCTCCCCTGGCACAACTTGAGACCGAGCCCTCTTGTCTTGTTGATCATTGCCTGGGAAAAGAGACCAACCTCCCCCGGCTACCCCCTCCTGTCAGGGAGTTGCAGAGAGTGAGGAGGTCTCCCCTGAGCCTCCTCTTCTCCAGGCTGAACAGCCCCAGCTCCCTCAGCCTCTCCTCACAGCACTTGTGCTCCAGTCCCTTCCCCAGCCTCGTTGCTCTCCTCTGGACCTGCTCCAGCCCCTCCATGTCCTTCCTGAGCTGAGGGCCCAGAACTGGACACAGCACTCCAGGGGTGGCCTCACCAGTGCTGAGTCCAGGGGAAGAATCACTTCCTTGGACCTGTTGGCCACACTGTTCCTGATCCAGGCCAGGATCCATTGGCCTTCTTGGCCACCTGGGCACACTCTGGCTCCTGTTCAGCTTCCTGTCAATCCAAACTGCCAGGTCCCTCTCTGATAGAGAAGAGCCTCAAGATGTTCTCTGGGGGAATCATGATCCTCAAAATCCAAGAAAAATGAATATAAGAGGTTTTATGAGAAGCTGGAAAAGAACGCTGGGAGGAGCTCATCTCATCAGCACTGAGCTGATGCAACAGGACAAACCTCAGCACTGGCCTCCTGCAGGTCTGGCAGTTCCATTATTCACACTTGGCATACAATTTTAATTTTAGAGGTTTTTTGTGAGGAAGGATAGCTTTGGTTTGCTCACATTCTGCATCAGAAGCCACCTGCAACCAGTGGCTTTGTCAGAAAACCTGGATTTAAAAATTCTGCACTTTGGGAGCCAAAGTTCTGACAGACTCCGTCTCTTCCCCCAGCAGCTGCCCCTTGACTGCCCCAGTCTGTGCAACCATCACCCCTGCCCTGGAGCTGTGGGTCAGTCATTCCTCCCATCCTCGCCCTCCAAACCCCTTTTCCCACTACAGAAAATGCAGGTTGGAAGCAGGAGAACTACAAATCAAACACAAAGTATGAGGATCAGCCCCAGTCCTCTGTAAGATCTCCCAGCCCTGCAAAGTGCTGATCAGGTGAACAGGCCTTTGCAAAAAAAGCAACAACGAATTTTCTGCACAAGATTTATGGGCATAATAAAAACTGTAATAGACACTTTCCCTGCAATAGGAGCCACATTCATGTTCTAAATAAAACAAGCATGGAGCGATCGCAGCCACTTCTCACTTAAAAGCCCCCAAGCCCAGCCAAGCATTAATTTCAATGTTTCAGACATTCAGAACTCTCAGCCACACTTAAACAGCCACACAGTCAGCCTTTTCCTGGGGGTGGGGGCACTGCAGGAGGTGCTGAACAGGCTGAAATAAGCCTGGATGGAAATATATCCCAGTGTCACGTTCATTCATCAAATTAGCCTTTGGAATACGCTGTGGAACACGGGGAAATGGAGGTGCACACTGAACAGGGAACACCATCAGGTTACAGGGAGCTCACTGATTAATAAGGAGCCCTATAAAACCTCTCTTCAGACTCACAGAAGAAGACTGTGCACGTGCACTTGGCTGGCAAAAGCATCAACACTGCACACTGGTTCCCCTCCCTGCTCCCACCAGGAAAATGTTCCTGCGAGAATTCAGTCACTGGGAAAACCTTCCACCTTGAGACAAATATGTTAGGGAAAAATTAAAAATGAAGAGCCAAGCAGGGTGGGAGTGCAACCCCCAGGGCTGGGAAACAGGCTGGGAACCAGGGTATGGACCAGGCTGGGAACACAACTATGGACCAGGCCATGGACCAGCCTATGGACCAGGCTCCGAGCCAGGCCTGTCCTGCCAAGGGGAGCAGGAGAAAGGGATGTCAGAGAGCTGAAAACCTGCCTCAAATGTTAAATCTTCCTCCTCCTTTCCAACAAACCCCACTATGGCACCCAAAGACACCCCGAGGCCATTGGCCCCCCTCCCTGTGTCCCACAGGTGCTGGGACATCCCGGCACTCCGGCTGTTCCCGTCCCTCCCACGTGTCTCCCAATGCCAGGGGCTCCCTCCCCACAGCTCCAGCACGGCCTGGCTGCCACAGCCACTCAGTCCCAGCCTGGCTGCTAATTATAGTGAGGCAGAACCCAGAATAAACCTGCTCACTGCCACCACAGCCCTGCCCTGGCCTGCCTGCACATCCCACAGCTTCCAAGGGCACTCACAACACTGAGCATCCATTTCCAACCACCTGCCTGAAACCCAATCAGCATTTTTTTGGATAGTGAGTTATATATTAAACCAAGAGAACCCATTCCATCCATGGAAGGCAACACATGTGGCACCTGACTGGAAGATGCAGTGAAGGCACATCATCTCCTGATTCAGCTGAAAATATCTACATCTCACTTTCTACAAATTGGTGAGGGCAGCCTGGCTTGCACAGAGCCCAAAGAGTTTTTTTCATTTCAAGGGAAGTTAAAAAAAGACATTTATTAATGGTCTTGACTGTGCTTCACTTCATTCCTACTGGGAGAGGGGAGATACCAACTCCCTCACAGGATTTAGGGCTAAACAGCAACAAACTCTTCTACAGAAAGGAAAGTTATGTTTTATATACACATGTCCATATATATAGATAAAAACCAGGCATACATGCCCTCATATATGTATTATATACGTATATGTTATCTCTTATCTATATATAACCTGATCTAGAACTTCTCTGTCCTCTAAGAGGAATCAGCAACACAAAACCCAGGGATCTGTTCTGGGCTCAGAACACCTGAAAGCCTCAGGGGCCTGTCAGGGAGTTAAATGTTAAATGTCTGTTTTGGGGCCTGAACTTTGTGATATCTTTGTGAATGGAAGCAAACAGATGATGAAGTTACATCTCAACATCACTCAGGATCTGTCTTAAGACTGGCCCCACATGCACTGCAAGAGCCCAGGCTGAAGGGCCTGGAGTCTCCTCCACGTTCCCAGTCTCCCAATAAGCCTGGTAAATGTAAATATAAAGGAACAGAAATCCCGTGTGATCCCTGCTCAAAACCAGCTCAGGAATGTGCAGCTGATCACATCCTTCAGCCCCTAAGAGGGAATGGCTCACCCAAAGACAAGGAACAAAGAATAATATCCAGGCCAGGAGGCCAGTGGAATATTTTCCCTCATCTTTTAATTCAGAGAAGTCAGTGCAGAGCAGGCTCAGAGCAACCCCACGACACACAAACACAGTGCCTGATCCCACCCTGGGTGTTTGGAGGTTTAATCCCACTCCAGGGCTGAGCAGAACACATGTCCCAACTGCCCAAAAAAGCTGAAGCAGTTGCCATGTGCTGATTTGCTTTCCTGGCTGCAAACACTTCTGGGCTGCAGCTTACGGGGAGCTCATCAAACATTCATTAAAAGCAAAGCAGCTGTTTACATTAATAGTGATTACACAGATCTTAGGAGGAAATTGTAATGAATTCCACATGTGAGGTGAAAGCACACTCTGAGCACTGCAGGATGCTCAGGGAAGCTGATCCCCAGCACTGCAGGCTGGGTTTAGGAAGCTGGAGCCTTTTGTGCCACTGTGGGGGATCAGGATCTATCCAGGCAAACCTTCACTCTGAACAGCAAAAGGTCTTTCACCAGCACTTTGTTTCTAACTCATGACTTCTCACCTGCTCAGACAGTTCAATTCTTTTTCTACCCCCTTGGCCCTTTCCTCCCGATTCAGTAACAGAACTGAACCTCCATTCCCTGTTCCACCCGAGGAGGATGAACTCGCAGGGCCAGTGTTAAATTACTGAAGCCTTAAGATAAATTTCAACCTAAAACATGTCATTTGCCACAGGTATGGCAGGAATTAAGGGGCCAAAAAGTATCAAAAACATGTTTCATGGGGCCATGATACCATCCCTTTCTCAGACATCCAGTTTTGAAGTCCAGGGGTTTCCTCCCACACAACGTCACTGTGGACCTTCCCCAGACACACCACGTCTGTCTGTCCCTCTCTGCAAAAATCAATGTTCAGGGAGGAAACACAGGTTAATTAGCTCAGGTTTTGGGATTATGCTCTGGGAAAGAACCTCATTACATATTCCTGCTGTGGGGTAACACAGCAAATGGATTTTAGCAGACAAGGAGCTGGGTTTGAGCAGGACACACACCCTGACACAAAACCAGGGCAACAGGGACCCTGTGAGACCCAACAGCTGATTTACACCAAACACACCCACAGATCAGGAGTCCCAGAGGACTTGACTTCCCTCCAGGGGAGAGCCAAATCCCACTCCTTTACATAGATTTACACATTCAGTTTGTATGAAAATTCCTGCATGAGGGAGATGTGAACAGGGGCAGATGGTTTAATGCAAAGAAGTGCATCCAAACACATGAAATGTTTGGGGGGGGTGTGTTTAAGGATAGGGAAGTGTCAAAAAGTGGTGTAATTGAACATACCAGCTTTGGGAGTTGGGGCTAAAGGTTTAATTCCTTTTTTTCTGAATGGTAAACTCTAAGAAGGGAGTAGCCTTCAACCTTTGCTCTACAAGACCAATGTTTTCCATGAACTATTTGAGTGGTTTACAAGTTGGGTATTTTGTTTTCTAAGGCTCCAGTGACAGGAAATAGAATAAGGAGGGTTGTGAAGTGGAAGAGTATGGTGTTGAGAAGATGAAAGTGGGTGTGTTTTATGGGGAGTTCTGGAGGGGGGAGACGTGGATCAGGGTAAGACAACTTTGCAAAACGTGCGTTAAAATACTCAAAATGTTCCCAACGTTTGAAGCAAACAAAACAACGAAGAAACAAACAAAACCTGAACGTTTTTTACGTCTCACTCCAAGGGTGGAGATGCCCTGCAAGGAGCTGATCCATCCCCCTGCCAGCAGCTCTTTACCTGTGCAGGAACTTCTCGTAGGTCTGGCGGTAGGCGAAGCCCGCCCGGCGCACGCGCACGTTCTCCAGCAGCCCCAGGTACTCCACCTGGTGCCTGCAGCGCTCCTCGTCGAACACCTGGGGGGACTTCTTGTCGTTGGGCTTGATGCAGCGCACGTAGTAGGGCTCCTGGGGGGACAGAGCAACAGAGCACAGCCAGAGTCACCCAGGAGAAGGGTCTGTGCACACACAGCAGGGTCTGTGCACACACCGGGAGAACACGGAGCTGGGAGCGCACCCCGGAACGCTGGACAGGGTTTGACTGCCCAGCAGGGATCAGAGGGTTAAAACAGAGGTGACAGTGACACATTTCTCCCCTTCACACCCTGCAGGGACCTGTTACAGGACCCATGTTCTCCAGCAGGCCCAGGGACTTCACCCGGTGCCCACAACGCTCCTCATCACAGAGCTGGGGGGACTTGATGTAGGAGGGCTCCTGTGGGCTGATCACAGCCAGGCTCACCCAGGAGAAAGGGCTGTGCACACACAGAAGGGGCTGTGCACACACAGAAGGGGCTGTGCTCACACAGAAGGGGCTGTGCTCACACAGAAAGGGCTGTGCACACACAGAAAGGGCTGTGCACACACAGAAGGGGCTGTGCACACACAGAAGGGGCTGTGCACACACAGAAAGGGCTGTGCACACACAGAAGGGGCTGTGCACACGCAGCTAATCTCAGTTTTAGCTGTGCTGAACAAAGTCCAAACCCTGTTCCAACAGGCCTGAAGGATGGGAATGACTGAACTCCAACCTCCAGCTGCCTCCAGCCCACAGGACCTTCCCCAGGACAAACACAACCCAGCAGCACGTGAGTTCCTCTCTCTGCACCACCCTGGACATGCAGGGGGCAGAGAAGGTGGGACAGGGGTGGGTGGCTTTACTCCACCCCACACAGTCCAGGGGTCCTGCCCCTGCCTGGGCTGATCCTGGATGCTCTGGTGTGTCCCACAGGATCACAGCTTTCACAGTGACATCAGGCCTGTCAGAGTGTTTTGATGTTTTCTTTCATTTTTATTTGATTAAATAATAGCTTTCAGTTAGGTCAACGTGGTCTGTAACCAGCACCAGTGTGAGGGGTGGCTACGAGGCCTTTACACTTAGGCACTTCCATCCCACTGGGTTTTGGAGTTCATTCCTTTCTTTCTCTTGTCAGCCCTTGCTATCCACTTTCAACCTTGGTGGGGTGTGGAAAAGCAACCCATCATCATGGAACCACAGAGCACCCTGAGCTGGGAGTGGTCCAACCCCTGGCCCTGCACACACCCCCCAACAATCCCACCCTGTCCCTCAGAGCGTTGTCCAAACCCTCCTGGAGCTCTGGCAGCCTTGGGGCTGTGACACTGCCCTGGGGAGCCTGGTCAGTGCCCAACCAGCCTCTGGGGGAAGAACCTTTCCCTGAGATCCAACCTGCCCCTGCCCTGGCACAGCTCCATAGAAGGCCCACCAGAGCTTTTCAAGGCAAAATTTTATTCTTCTCACATTGACAGATGTTACTTTTCAAGTAGCCCTTGCAAAGGGAGTGGCACTTCCTGCAGGCTGGCAGAGCTCACTGCCCACCAAACCTCAGCACCAGCCAAGGAGAGAACTCAGAGGATCCCAGCGAGCTCAGGGGGTCCCAGTGTGGGCAGAGACCTTCAGAGGACATGCCACAGATACACACGAACTGCAGCATTCCAAAAAGCAGTTTGCAGCAATCTGACACCTTGATAAAGGGAGACACACAGCCTGGGTGACAGCTGAACATTAGATGTCCCCTTTGATAACCACGACTGATAAACCAGGAATGACATTTCAGCAACCTTGCCCTGGACCAGATGAAGCTGGGGGGTTGTGAACTGCTCTGAGGAACCAGAGGTACCTCAAAGGGAACCCCAAGGGTTCTCCAGAGGGGTCTGTTGTGTTCCAGCACTCCTGGACAGCCTCAAGACCCCACAATGGTAACAAAGAGGAGAAGTGGTCTGGGGGGAGAGAGGGGTTAATTCAGTGAGAACAAATGCAAAGTTCCACATTCAGCAGAAATAGTTGATTAATAAATAATGAAAAACTGATTTACACTGGTGCTAAAAAGACATGCAGGAGTTCAAGCTGACACGAGGCAAGTTCATGTTTTTCTAGGAAAGGGCACAAGAACAGGAAAACTGCAAGACAAAAAACCCAACAGATTTCTAATTCTCTGAACACCTCACACAGGGCACTGCAGTTCAAGTGGGAACAGTGAGTCAGTGCAGGCAAGAACAAGAAAGATCAAAAAATCCAGCAAATGTGACTCAGAGGAAATACAGGTTTAGTCTTGAAGGACCAAGGAGCCACAGAACCATCCTGCTGTAGATTTTATACATTTAAAGGGTAAATATGAGGAAATGTGAACATTCAGCTTTAGGACACAGAAGAACTGTGCCTTTAACCATGGTATAAAACCCTCAAATTAGGCATCAGGAAAATAAGGAGTGGGAGCAGAGCTTGAGGAAAGGAGGGATTCTCCACCACTAGGGAGAACAGCCTGAACAAGCATCTGAAGGGAAGATACAGGCAGAGGTGTCCCCAAACACAAGGTGAACTGGGGGCACTCCCAGGTCCCCTTCAGCCCTTCTGTCTATGATTTCTCTATGATTTGAGGTCACCCACCTAATCTCAGGACAACAGGAAAGGCCCAGAATTGCTGTTTCCCTGCAGGAATACTGAAGAAACAGGACCATCCTTGACTCTCCTGGCTAATCCTGACACAACCCGGAGCTGGCAGCACTGTGGAGACCCCCAAGGATCCTCCACTCACTGATGAGTGTGAGCAATGAACAGACCAAGACATAGAGGCCTTGGAAAAGCATATCCTAAAGGCTGATATAAGCCACTGGGGAAGGTTTTGGGCTGGAATATTTCCTGCTTTCTCAAGGATGCCATCAGCAGCACCAGGCTGGGATTTCTCCTGGAGGGTTGTCCTTGGGATGGGAATATAAAGCAACGAGGAGAGTGAAGAAAATCTGAGCTAAGCACCCACAAAGAGCTGGCAGCATCCTGGAGCTGCCCACCCTCCAGGAAGCAGCTCAGGAGCAGGGATAGGTACGAGGAATGTGGAATAAGCAGCAGGATGTGTGGGCAACATCCGTCCTTACGTCACCTCCCCTCTCCCAGTGACTCCATCGCTCCCACAAAGTGTGGCAGGCACAGCTCCCTCACAGCCTTGTTTGGCTCCTCTCCTTCCCAGGGGACTGAGGCAGAGCTGGATGCAGGGAAACAGTGCCCAGCTCCCAAAAACAGCTGAGCCCCTGCCAGGGCAGTGCCCTCCTCACTCAGCTCTTCCTCAGGGAGTGGAGGGCTCAGGAAAGGACACTCCAAGGCCAGGCTGGACGGGGCTGGGAGCAGCCTGGTCTGGTGGAGGGTGTCCCTGCCCACGGCAGGGGTGGAATGAGGTGCTTGGCACTGCCCAGGCTCCCCAGGGCAGTGTCACAGCCCCAAGGCTGCCAGAGCTCCAGGAGGGTTTGGACAATGCTCTGAGGGACAGGGTGGGATTGTTGGGGTGTCTGTGCAGGGCCAGGGGTTGGACTGGATGGTCCTTGTGGGTTCTTTCTACTTCAGAATGTTGTGTGATTCTGAGATGAGCTTTAGGGTTCCTTCCAACCCAAACAATTCCATGATTCCATGACACACCAGGCAGCTCTGCTCTGGGTGAGGTCTCCTACAAAGTCACCAGCACGGAGCACTTCCTTCTGCCACAGTAATTCACAGAGTCATGGAATCATTCCGGTTGGAAAAGACCTTTAAGACCCATGGAGTCCAGCCATCAGCTCAGCACCACCACTGTTTTCACCACTGACCCATATCCACAGGTTTTCTGAACACTTCCAGGGATGGTGACCCCACCACTGCCCTGGGCAGCTGTGCCAGGGCTGGAAACCCTTTCAGTGAAAAATGTTTTCCTGATATCCAACCTTGATATCCAACCTAAACCTTCCCTAGCACAACTTGAGGCCGTTTCCTCTTGTCCTTTCTGCTGTTACCGCCCCTGGTTCCCCTCCTGTCAGGGAGCTGGAGGCAGCATCCCTCCCAACACATCCCATCCCTGTTTTGTTTGTTCTCCCACTCTTTGCTGGGACTGGAAATGAGCTGTTCAGGGAAAATGCAGGATACACAGAGAGCTCTGAATGACACCTGAACTTGGGAACCGTGAAGGTGAATGGTCAGCACTTCAAAGAACCACAGAGTCATGGAATATGTGGAGTTGGAAGGGATCCTCAAGGATCATCCAGCCCAACCCCTGGCCCTGCACAGGCACCCCAACAATCCCCCCCTGTCCCTCAGAGTGTTGTCCAAACCCTCCTGGAGCTCTGGCAGCCTTGGGGCCGTGCCCAGTTCTAATTCTCCCCATCCCATCCTGCTGATGTTCACCTTGGGCCACTTCTCCATCCCTTTATCACCATCAGGGACAAACCTCTCTCGGTGTCAGGAGCAGGGTCACCAACACCAGGTGGTGCCAGGCCATGCCAGACCTGCCCTGTGCTGCATCTGATGGCAAGAGGAACATAAATCACTTTTTGAGGTTGATATCACAAATATTCCACATTCAAAAATGCAAAAACCCTCAAATCTCTGACTTTAGGTCCAGCACAAAGGGGACCAAATGTGTCTGCTTTTGCTATAAAAGGCTGAAACCCTTTGGAAAGCAGGATTGGGAAGTGCCTGCACAGACAGGAGATCATCTATCAGTGCAATTACAGTGCAATTAAAGCCTCTCAGCAACGACAGCTTCAAGGGTAAATTCTAAAGTAGATTATTCCAGGCTTCCAATCCCCCCAGCCCCAGCTCTTCGGGGGGGGATAATTATGCAGCTCCCATTCTTCCTGTCAGAACTGCAGTTTCTAAAGGGAAGAACTGAAATGCAGAGACACAAAGACCCCGCTCTGAAAGCTCTTTAGATGCCTAATTGCAACTCATTTTATTTTTCAATCAAACTGAGTGATTTTTGGATTTTTAGGTGTTCAAAAGAAAACAAACCAGTTTCAAGCCACTGAACACTGAACAAACTCCTCCTTGGGAGGCTTCTGTTCAACAGCTCTTAGATGAGAGAGGGGATGGGACACAGGACTGACAAATTTGTGCTGGATTTGTCCCATCAGTCACAGCTGGTGACATTATAACTTACTAGAGATGAAGCCTGTCAGCCTGGATAGGAGAGGGGAGGGATGGAAGGAAGAGTCAAACAAAAGGAGTTATGGGGGGATGGAAGAAAAGAATAAAGGAAAAGCTGCATGTCCAGAGAGCTCCCAGAGAAGCTTCTCATTCCCAGCCAGGGCAGCCACAGCACCTCCTGTGTCAGGATTTACAAAAAATCCACCCAAAATAATCCATCTCAGGGAGAGCAAACCCTCCAGAGAACAGCACAGGCAGTCAAACATGTGCTTGAGAAAGGGAACGTGCCCACTCCTGGAGCCAGCTGGGCTTTCCATCCAAAAACCAACCAAAACAAGGGTGTTTTCTTCTGTCTGTCAGAGGTTTGTGCCCAAAAGGCTCCTGGTGTAACCTGGAGGATTACAGCAGTACTGAGACACTGAGAACCCAGCACCTTCCAAAGGCATTTTCCATGGGACCACAGAAGCATTAGGCTGGAAAAGTCCTCTGAGAGCATCAAATGCAACTGTCCCCCAGCACTGCCAAGGCCATCACTGACCATGTCCCCACGTGCCACATCCACAGGGCTTTTAAATCCCTCCAGGGATGGAGACTCCACCCCTGCCCTGGGCAGCCTGTTCCAATGGCTGACCATCTTTTCCATGAAGAAATTTTCCCAATATCCAATTTAAACCTGCCCTGGCACAGCTGGAGGCCATTCCCTCTCCTCCTGTCCCTTGTTCCCTGGCAGCAGAGCCCGACCCCCCCCGGCTCCCCCCTCCTGTCAGGGGGTTGCAGAGCCAGAAGGTCCCCCCTGAGCCTCCTTTGCTCCAGGCTGAGCCCCCCCAGCTCCCTCAGCTGCTCCAGCCCCTTCCCAGCTCCATTCCCTTCTCTGGACACACTCCAGCCCCTCAACGTCTGGAGAGCCCCAAAAGTGAGCCCAGGGTTTGAGGGGTGGTCTGGCCTTTCCAGCCACATTTCCTGGGTTTCCAGACATCTACAAACACGTATTTGCACCCACTGAAATCAAAGCCACTTTTGAGAACACTCTTCACAGCACTGCCCTGCTCCTGACCCCAGTGGAAGCATCTGACACCCCAACAACCACAACACCTGCCCCTTCCCCTCACAGAACTCTGTGTCATCACCAAATTCCAGACTTAAACCAGAGTAGCAACTGAACAGAATTTTAAAGGTTGTTATTTTAAGTACCAGAGAAGTTAAATAACAACTAGTGTTGCAGGTATTGTGCACTGTGGTCCCACACTTTGAGATTCTGATATTCTGGTGGTGCTGAGTTGGTGTTTGAACTTGATGATCTTAAAGGTCTTTTCCAACCTTAACAATTCTATGGTTCTGTGATTATTGTTATTCCTGCCCACCAAAATGGCACTTTTGGAGACTATTCCCCCAAAAGTTTAAAGATACTGTTGGTACAGCCAAAAAACCCTTCAGCTTTTCAGGAAAGGCCAAATGAGTGTCAGTGAAGAGGAGCCCCTGGGCTGCCACCCTGTTTGGGGACTGTAGAAAACTGAGCATAAAAATATGGTTTAAAGAGTTTTCAGAGAAGCATGAGCAGCCCAGGTGGAATGGGAGGGCAGGATGAGGCAGCAGCTCTGACTGCACTGGGCACACTCAGATAATGTGAATAAATCATTAGCTCCAACTGCAGCAAAACTCAAGCCTTTCTTCTTGGTTTTCTTGGAGAAACAGCTGAGCAAAACATGAACTGATTTTACCTCTCCCAATGGAACCTTATTCCTCTGCCACCCCTAAACCACAGCAGCTCACACAGCTTATGCAAGCCTGTTTTCAGAGCTGTTTCCATCAGCTGTGACCACAGGCTTCCCAAAAACGTCCTGCGGGGTCTGAACCACAGACACACAGATGCTGTCACTGTTGATCCCCACAGAGTGCAACTCCAGCCCCGAGTTCAGCATGGAAAAAAATGAGTAACAGGGCCCCAGGGAAGGATTAGAGCACCTGAACTGCAGTGGTGGTGCCCCCAGAACAGAGAGTGGCTTCAGCAGCCCCAGCAGAGGGAAGGGCAGAGACAAGGATCCAAACTGGCAAGGACCCAGGGGCAGAGCACCCAGTGATTTGTGCACAGCCAGTATCTCAAAACCAAGGCCTGAATGCCCAGTTATTGGCTTGCTGATGACATGCACATATCATGAATTGCCCCAAAAGTCACCTCAGAGAGACCCTGGGGCAGGGCAGCCACCCAGGAGCACTCACTCACCTCTGCTCTCTGAGTCACTGTTTGCAGCACACAATGGTTGTGTTCAGCAGCCTGACCTACCAACCTCCCCAAAATTAAAGTAACACAAGCCTGGCTGCAGGAGGGGTCTCACCAATATTTCCTACAGCTCCTGACAGGAGGGGGGAGCCAGGGGGGGTCGGGCTCTGCTCCCAGGGGACAAGGGACAGGAGGAGAGGGAATGGCCTCAAGCTGTGCCAAGGGAGGTTTCAGTCAGATATTGGGAAAATCTCCTCATGGAAAGGGTTGTCCATCCCTGGCACAGCTGCCCAGGGCACGGGTGGACTCCTCATCCCTGGAAGTGTTCAAAAAACCCGTGGATGTGGCACTTGAGGACATGGTTTAGGGATGAACAGTGATGGTGCTGGTTGAGGGTTGGACTTGATGATCTCAAAGCCCCTTTCCAACCTTAACAATTCTGTAATCCTGTGAAATGTTTGGGGTTTTTCAAGGTGTAGAACAGCCAGGATCTCCATGGAAAATGGCTAAAGCTCATCCAGGTTCCTTCACTTTGCACATGAAGTACCTGCACAAGCTGTTGTGCAGGAGAACTTTCCAAGTGCAGACCCCAAAGTGTGAGTGTCACCCCCACTGTTCCAGCTCTCCAGCACACTCAGGGTTGACCATAAAGCCCTGCACCACCCTGGCAGCCCTTGGCTCCTTCCTGCCTGGCAGAGCCCTTGTCAAGTCCTGGCAGACACATCTGTTACATGAGAGCCTTCCCTTTATGGGATCCATGGGAAATACAACACTCCAAGATAATTTTCCCCAATGCAATCCAACAGAAAATGAGGAAAACCCTGACATCTTCAATACAAGTTTCTCAGTGAAGATTAAGGGAAGGTAAAGAATGGGAAAGGACCACACTGAGACACACACAGGAACCTCCTTGGGAATTTGGCTTGGAAACAGCTCCAGGTTATGCCTTGGAAAAGGCTGGCATTTGAGAGACACTGATGATAAATGGCCCGAGAGGAACTCACTCCACACAGCCCAGCCAGTTCCAGGGAGGAATGCTGGTGCCCACTGACTCAGGATGGAGAAGGTGCCACTCAAACCCCTTGTGCCCTGCTGGGAGCTGCAGGGATTGTTCAAACCACCACAGGCCATTCTCTTGATTATTCTATTTTTACAACTTCCAGGTGGCCTGGAATAATTGTTCCAATGAACAAGGAAATGAAGCTTTTCCATGGACACCTGCAGAGCCTCCCTGCTGTCCCCCCTGCTCACAGCCCTCCCCAGCAACACCCCAGGGTTTCTGTGTGCACTGAACCCCCTCAGGAGGTGATCTCTGCTCACAGGAGGGATCCCCCCCCTCAAACAGCCCCTTCCCACATCATTCCCTCACCCACCTTCCTCCACACAACGTGGTGCTTTGCCCAAGCCATGCCTTCCACTACAGAACTGAATTATTTAGTGAAATAAAAGGTTTCCCTCCTCACCCTCTGCCACGGCAAAGAGGAGGGAAGAAGGAACTCACAAAGGCCTAGCTGTATTTTCATGGAAATCCCTCGGATTTGGAAGCCAGAGAGAATCTCTGCACCATGAATAACCTCCTCTGGGCCCTCTGCCAAGAGCTCTGCTAAAGATGATTGTTCATTTGATACAATAACTATCACCTAAGACAGACTGGTTTTCCTATGAGTGAAAGCTCCACTGGTCCCAGAGGAACCAGAATTCCAGGTGACCCTCCAATGAGACCTTCCCAGCTGCCCACTGGCACATCCAAAGCTCCTCTGCCTTTGCTCAGCTCACTCCCTGAGGGATGGCAGTGATGGGAAGTGGGGAGTGTCTCCAGGGAGAAGCTACACCCAGCTCCTCAGAAGCTGGGAGTCAATTTGGAAGCAGGAATCTTTACCTTCAGTGCCAGGTTGTCCACCAGTGCAATCATGGAGTTCTTGAACAGAGTAGCAGCTGTCAGAGGTCTCTTGGTGACCTCAGTGATGCTCAGCTTCCCTTCAGGCCACATCATCTTCAGCACAGGGTTGGAGCTACAAGAGAGTCTCTTTAATTCCCACTCTAACAGCACTTCCACTCCATTCAAAATTCAGGAGCTCGTTCCTGCCCAGCTCCACTGCTGCTTTCAGCTCACAAAGCATCAGACTGACATTCTTGGGCACATCATCTCCTGCTTCTAAGAGCAAGTTCAAGCTTATAACTGAATACTCTGGAAAAACAAGCAGCACATTCGTCTCTTCAGATCAGGATGTGCAGGGCTGGGACAGTGACAATCCCTCTGGGGTGATCCATCAAAGGCAGGGTCTGATTTACAGACACAACATATAAAGAATTTAATCAAAACAGAAGAGAGTAAGACCCGCAACATCCTCCCTGGGAACCTGTGACCTGATTTCAAGCTGTATTTCTGCACCACTCTGGATACATAAAGCAATTTATACACTTTAGCCTATATTTTTGAAGGGTTGAGGGTGAGGTAAAGTGGCCCTGATGGATGGTGAGAGCTGGGGAACAGACAGGAACAGAGCACAGCTCCAGCAATGCAATGGCCAATCTGTCACAGCTTTAATGTGCTGTTTGGGAACAGGCTTTTCCAGAGACCTCACAGAAAACAGGCTAAATATAACAAAACCTCCATACAGCAAATATTTTGCAAGGTTTTTGGTCGATGGGAAGTCTTGAAAACAGGAACAGTGGGGTTGTTCAGGGGAGCACAGTGAGCCAACACCACAGGACAGGGAACCAAGTTAACACTGCCCAGGTAAAACAGGGTGTCTGTGCCCCTGTCACCTCTGAAAGCTGCAGAGGGGCCACAGTTACCAAAGCCAGACCAGGTTTAATGCCAGCTGTGAAGGAAAGCAGCTCTCTGGGCACTCACACACATATTCTGATGGGTTTCCAATTTGCTTCTCAAAGGCAACTTTGCCTTGCCCAGCTCGTGACTTCATGGTTTACATTCTCGTGTCACTGCACATACAAAAGGATTCAAATCTATTTGCCCAGTTTACCCTGTCATTTCTTTCCAAACAGGGTGTTTTAGCTGAGGCCAAGGATATCTGTTGTTGACCAAAGCTGCTCAGTATCTTTAGCACTGATTAAGGCCAGAGCAGTGATGGTACATCTGCAACAACCTGGTTAATGACAAATCAGGCAGCACAAGGGATCTCTGCACTATCTTGGTTGCACAATCAGTTGGTTTCAAACCAACACTTTACATTTAGTTCAATTAAAGGCTGTATCAGAACAAAACCAACCTGTACAGGGATTTTAACCCGAAAAATCAAAGGAAGAGCCCCCAGGTCACGGTGGACAATGATCAGATCCCCAAGCAATGTGTTTATTCACACAGAGACAGAACCAGTGGAAAGCTCAATCTCTGCTCCCATCCACTCCACAAAACAGGATTCTGACAAATCAGCTTAAAATTCACCTCATTAATGCTCCTACCTGTTGTACATGAGGCGCTTGAAGTCTTGAAATAAAGTGTCCTTGTTTTTGTCAATAAATCCAGTGACTGAGTAGCTAAAAAAAAAAAAGGAAAACAGAGTTAATTGCAAAGCAGCAAAGTCCTTCTGTGAACTGCTGTTTTCTGGGTGGAATCAGCATCCCTGGACTCCTACAGACACTGCAGATCCCTGGCTCAGAAAGGTGTTTGAGCTGTGCAGGGAAAGGCTGAGACACCTCCCAGGGCTTGGGCAGGTTGTAGGTGGCCCAAATTCAAGAGTTACACTCAGGATTTCTGCCTCCAAACTGAGTGTTTGAGCTAAATCCTAGGGAAATGAAGGTTTGGTTTCAGTATGTCCAATCTGCCCCTCGCTTGGTGTCAGGGAAGATTCTCTGGTAGGAGAGGGCCCGAAATCAGGAGCAGCCTATAACCAGTGCCTGGGGAACCCTCCTGGAAATCAAGACACACACACACACATTTTGGACTCCTTCCTACTTTTATTCCCACAGAAACATCACTGGATGTTTCTAGAACATCACTGCTTCAGGGTTTTATCTCTTCTCCAAGATTCAAGTGCTCTGTCCTCAGGGAAGAGGTCCAAAGTCTCCCCACTCAGTGACTCCCACTCAGTTCCTTCCCAAACTCCAGATCCCACCTGGGAATCTGCACCCAAACTGCAGCTCTGGGATCCAGAGCCCCACACCATGTAAATCCCTGCATGGAGTCACCCTCAAACCATAAAATCATGGAATGGTTTGGGTTGGAAGGGATCTTAAAGAACATCCAGTGCCACCCCTGCCAAGGGCAGGGACACCTTCCACCAGCCCAGGCTGCTCCAAGCCCCGTCCAACCTGGCCTTGGACACTTCCAGGGATCCAGGGGCAGCCACAGCTTCTCTGGGCAACCTGTGCCAGGGCCTCCCCACCCTCAAATCTCCAATATGCACACACTGGCTAGCCTTCTAAATTGAAGGTAAATTTAATCCCAAGGTAAAAGAAATCCTGAGTTATTTCCTCAGTGACTCCCTTTAGATTCTGCTGCCACAGGAAATTACACAAATCCCACAGCATTAAACAACTCCAGTGATATTCCAGACAACAGCTTTCCCAGGGAACATGTGCACCTTTCACTTGCACTTACTCCTCCTTCCCACTGCTCCCACCTCCTGCACACATCCCTGACTTGCCAACCCTCCTGCAGGTTAAACCCTCCCGTGCTCTGAGCTCAAACTGATTGAGAATTTAAACCAGAGTTACATAATCACTCTAAACAGATGTCTAAACCAGATTTTATTAGCTCAGTGTAGCTTCCCTGCATAAACACTGCTGCCTTTTTTTCCCTCCTTTTCTCCCTGGAGCACAGCTCTCCCCTCACCCCCTCCCCTCACCCTCCTTTTGTCTCATTCCAAGCACAAACCCCCACTCTGGAGAGCAGGAGATTTAATTGATAAGCAAGTGCTGCACACTGTAATTGTGGGTGACAGAGTTCTGGCTCGCACCAGCAGCAGCAGTAAATCAGAATATTGTACCACTCCAGAGCTGGGGAAAGGACAAAAATAGAAGGTGCCACTTTTTATTTGTGACACAGACTCACATCACATCCCCAGCGTAGTGTTTGATCCGGAAGTCCCTGTCGAACTCCAGCGTTTTGTCCGTGGCACAAAGCTGAAATAAATCCACAGACATTAAAATATCACCCCTGGATTGACAGGAAAGCATCAGCCCTGGATTTACAGCCCTCATGGAACTCTAATTATTCCACTTCATATATGTACGTGCAGATGTGAAATCCAGTTAAATATTGATGTGTTTTTTCATACCACAAGAACATAAATTTGTACAAAACCAAGCTGCAAGAGCCTGTGGTTTTATTAAAAAAATTGATATTTTCTCAGAAACACCATTATGCAGAAAGAACACTTGTGCCTGTAGAGAAACATTGCACCCACGAGTTCATTTGTGACTCTTTTTTAAGTCTTCCTTTATATTTCTCCCATTGCTGTGTCACTGCTCAGCAAAGAAATGAGCCAATTAAAATGTGACAGCTACAACAGCAGGGCTTGTTCTGTCCCAGAGCACTCCTGGTCATCTGACACCCCTCAAACAGGGACCCCCCTGCAGATCCACCACTCCAGCTCAAATTCCCATCCCATCCCTTCTGGAAGGGATGTCCAGTGGCAGCTGCTCAGCAGCAGTGTTGTAATAAACTCATCCCTTCAGGAATAGCAGAAGCCAAAAAAATTCATCAGGTTCAGTTTAATTAAAAAAGGAGAATGAGATAAAAAATGAGCGTTTTTGTTACAGGCAAAAGGGGCAGGAGATGACTTAAGTCTTCGCAGGCAGCACGGGCACCATTTAACAACACTGAGGGCTGGGAGCAATATCTGCAATCCCCCCAAAGTCTTGGGAAAATAAAGGAGGAATTCAGCATGGTTGAAGTGCAGGGCAGAAGAGGTGACTGGGAGCAAAAATTCACCCGTGTCCAAGAGGAGAAAACAGATTGGCTCAAACTGACAGAATGGATGAAAAAAAACAACACAGAATATATTTTACACAAAATCAACCCCAAGGAGGAACCCAAGTAGTGTGGGCTCCCAGGTGCCCAGGAGGCTCCAGAGGTGTGGGAAGCCCAGCCCAGCAGGAGCAGGGAGAGCAGCGGGAGCTGCAGGGCTGATGGATGACCAAGGTGCAGCAGAACAGAGAGAAAATGAAGAAACGAGGCAACACCAGGAAAACAAAGTCATTTTTCTGTCTGCAGCTGCGTTCCCAGCACGGGGTTGGGGAGGGTGGAAGCCCTTTTTCTGCCACCCAAACACACAGCTCAAAGCAACAAGTCAATAAAAGAGGTATAAAGCCAATGCCAAAGGAAATGTGCCTGTGCTACCAGGCAGGACACAGTTGGCAGCACGAGCTCCTCCTAAAACTCGTCCAGCTCTGGAGAGACTGGGAGGTGCTGCAACATGGATCAGTGATTTTGTTGTTTGTTGTTTTGGTTTTCGTTTTTCTAAAAAGTGATTCTGTCCAAACTTTGTGTCTACTGAGCAAATCTGCTGAAATTAGCATAAAAAAAAAGAAGACCAGCAAGTCTCTGAACACTGGGGATCATCTGCTTGGCTTTCTGTGAGCCTTTCCAGGAGGCTCCTCTCTGACAGCTCATGGAATTTAAGGGCTCTGAAAGACAAGAGAAAGGGTCCCCACACGTAACTGTCAAGAAAGAAATGCCCAGAGACAATGGCAAATCACGTGGAGATGATGTGAACCATGGTTTGCCATTTAAAAACTAGGAGGTGAGAGATGGAACCTAAAAGGGAGGAGAGAGGACAACAGGAAGGAAGGAGCACTCCACCTGTGTATCTAAGCTGTGGAATTCTTTGACAATTAAAAAACCCTCAAAAAACCCGATCTGTTAAGGATACCAGCAGTGATTCAGGAGCTTCCTGGGCTGCAGATCACTGGAGAGTGGGAGTGTGTCTATCACCTTATCATTACACATCTGTCTCTTGTTGATCTCTCTCCTACTTCCAAGACCCTCCTGCCCACTGACTTGGAAGACACAACATCAGTTGGACCACCATGGACTGACATTCTGACTGAGACTCTTCCCTTCACAACCAGCTGGTTGAGGTTGATGTTCTCCACACTTTGAAGATCTGGGCATTCATGGACATTCACTGCACCTGATCCTTCCAGAGTGTAACTCCAACAGAAAAGAATCAGAATTGGAAGAGGCTGGGAAAGCAAACAGTGATGTTGGGAAGTGCCATCAGAGCAGGCTGCACATCCAGAGTCAGACAGCTCTGAGAAGGACAACCCCTGCTCCAGGAACACAACATTTTGCCCCAAATGCCCACAGTGGAAGTGTTCCCCAGTATTCCCTGGGTTTGTTTGGCCTTCACCAGGACAACCAAGGAGGCAGCTGGGATCAGCCAGGCGGGGCTCAAACTAGGACAGGGACTATTTAGGGCACAGCAGCCCCTCAGAGCTCATCCACATGGAGCCAGGGGAGCAGTGGGGCATGAACTGGGGCTGAGGGTGAGAGCTGCTCCCAACACATCAGCACAGGATGTGTTTAGGAACAGCCTCCACCCACAGGGAACTTCATGGTGTGTGGATGGACCCGCTGCCCCTGCCAAGGCAAATCCTGACACAAAATCCAGCCCTTTGTTGTAATCCACGCTGGAAGAGGCTGGTTTGGAAAGCTCAGGCTTCCTCCAGCAGTTCTGGGTGGGAAGAGATCTGAGGTGCTGGTAAAGGACGACTGCAGAGACGTGAGGGGGAGGAAAAGTAATAATTATGCTGAGAGGTTTGTGGGTCAACGTTTTCAAGGTTCTATTGATTTAGCCAGAAATTAGCAAGCCAGGCAGATCCATCATCCCCTCCATAAGCATTATTTATAGCAGGATTCCTTGTTTCCCCCTCAGTCTGTGCAGACAGTTCCTGACAACGCCACCTCCTGCTGAGCAACGCTGCAGCTGCAGCCTCGTCCTTTAATGTCTCCTTGCTGGGAAGGGACTCCTGAAGGGAAGGACTCGAGCTAAGAGCTGATTTTTAATGTTTCGTTTTACAGCCTCCCAGATACTTTATGAAATTCCAGCCCCTGAAGGACCATCTGCTCCCTCCATGGTGGAACCCCTTCCCCTGAGACCAAGGACAGGACAGGAACCCAGTTCCAGCTCCTTTCTCCACTTCCACTGACCAGAGGCTCCAGAAACTGGACCACTCCCACCCCAACCCCCTGCAGAGGATCCCAGACTCCATCCCCCCCCGATGGGTCTCACTATTCCTAACCATTAAAGGAAGCAGTTTGCACTCAAACAGGAACCCAGACTGGGCTTCACTTGTTTTCCAGGTGAGTTTTCCCAGAACGTGCCGTGTCACTGCTGGATCTGGGTCAACACTGGAATCAGGATCCCTGATCCCCCTCCCTCAGCCTGGGTGCACGTGGCAGGTGAGGTGTCCTCAAGTGCCACAGGGCACCTCAGGAGAGCCACATCTGGGAGGAAAGGGTGGCTTTGGTTTGTTTTCATTCCCAGTCAGATGCATTGTTTACCCTGGCTCCCCCCAGGCAGCCTTTAGCACATATCTTACACAACCAGGCTAATTTGCTATTTCTGACCTACATAAATGTTGTGTCGGGGTGGGAGGGGAGAGGGGGAACCAGCACTCACAAAGCATTTCAGACAACGCTCCTGAGCGGAGAGACATCAATAAATTAAAGGCCCTTATTTGATTACTCAGTGTGAAAGATTCTCAAATTAATCAGGCTGGTGACCATTTTTGCAATCTGCTGCCAAGTGAGGAATAAATGAAGCCTTTTAATTCGCCCATTGTAGGCCAGACAAAGCCAGGCAAGGGGGGGCCTGGGTGCTGTGAGGTGCAGGGGGAGATGAGCACGTTCTGCAGCCAATGATGAGGGGAAGGACCCCCAGCACTCCTGTGCCAGAGTAGGAGTGTGGATAATTTCACTGTCACTGTGCGTTAGAGCAGCCTGGGCAGAGCAGCACGTGTGCTGGAGCGGAGCATCGATTGGTTACAGATGACATCATGATGTGCCAAGGCACGAGCTCAGGCTCCTTTTATCCCGGAATAAAAGGGATGTGCCATTGGACGTGCTGGAGCTCCCTCTGCCGAGCCGGGGCTGGGCACTGCGGCTGCTCCGGGCAGCTCATCTCACACTCAGCCGGGATGATTCCAGCCCAGCCACGCTCAGAACCCTCCCTCCTTATTCCAGCGAAGCCTGGGGAAGGTGAAAGGAAGGTCTGAGGGTGCAGGAGAGGGTACCTTCCTGCTGGAGAAGTGGGCGTGCTTCCCCAGCTTGTTGTTGAGAGCCTCCAGGAACATCTCGTCCGTGACCCTCCCCACGTTCATGCAGGCGTCGTCCAGGATGGCAATGATCCCTTTGTGCTGCTGCTCCACCAGGTCCACGATGACCTGGTTGTTGAAGTAATCAATCTGGAGGAAACAAAGAACAGGGCAATTTGGGACTTTGGCTGGAGGAAAGGGAGGGTCCCAGTGCTGACAGTGAGGATGAGGCCCACCGTGCACAGGAGAAGCAATCAGCTCTGAGTCTGCAGATCTCTAATTCCAAATCAAACAGGCTACTCTTTACCACTTTACAGCAGAGAAAACCATTTTTCAAACCCCTCAGATACAAACCTCTGCTACAGAATGCACTTTAAAATGCTTTTTAGAATTCAGCTGTGTGCAGTCACCACAGTGACACTGCACATCCTGTCCTTGGCATCCTGAAGGGAATTTAAACAGGAAAAGTCAAGATTTTTACATGTTAATATCAATGACTAGACCAAACACAGAAGCACTCGGAACAGAAACACACAGTGATGTGTGTGGTATCACAGAGATGTTTTCTCTCAGACCTGGAGTCCCTTATTCTCCCATCTTTGAGGTGACTGGTTGGCTCCTGCCCCAGCCTGGTGTGACAGCATGTCTGCCAGGACAGCTGGCAGGGACACAGATGTCCCATCGTCTGCAGCAGGGACGTGCACGTGGAGCAGCCTCAGAGCTGGGACTTGTGCTGGTCCACTGACCTCGGCCCGACCCCTCCCTGCCCTGCCAGGGCACTCACATGCTTCCAGGGAATTCCCTCTCGCTGGTATTCCTCCTGCTCCTGCTTCAGGACCAGCTGAATGAAGAGCTGCTGCAGCTTTTCATTGCAGTAATTGATGCAAAACTGCTCGAAGCTGCAATAACAGAACAAAGAAAAAAAAGGTGATGAGTGGGAAAGGAGGAGGCTCAGCACTGGGCTCTGACAACGGGGCTCACCTGTTATTGTCGAATATCTCGAAGCCATAGATGTCCAGGACTCCAATGACCGTGTTCTTCCCATGGACTGTGGTGTCATAGTTCTTCACCTCGATCACGTCGTTGATGTGTGTCACCATCCAGCAGAAGAGGCGCTCGTAGATGGCCTGCAGGACACACACCCTGAGGCTGCTCCTGCCCCAACCCTGCCCAGCAAATTCAGCCCACGGGGCCTCACAGCTCACTCTGCCCTGCCTCCATCAGAGCTATGGATAACAGCCTGCTAGCAGTGAGCAGCCACTCACTGAGGAAAATATTCCAGGAAAATAGTTCTTGTCTTTCTTCCTAAACTCATTCATACAGAGTTGAAATCCCAGTGAGGTCACTGGGTACAGCAGTTCCCTAATTTGATCCCAGTTGGCTTTTCAGCTGCCTAATAACTTCCACTCCTGAGAATTATTTAACAATAGTGAAGAAGAGCCAAGTGAAAGGTCAGTTATAGAAACCTAATGACTGAACACAACAGCAGGAAAATATTCCAGTTCCCCTTTCAGACAGAAAATGTTCTGTAGGCAGAGTCTTCAAAGTCTACATGTTCAAAATGTGCTGTGCAGCTGGGCAAACATATTATATCAGGAAAAGGAGTCAAGTTAGCAATCAAGGATCTTCATAACTTCACCTCTTCTTCCCCTATCATTTGATTTCTTAGCAAAGGAGCGACAACTGTCACTCCTGCCATCAGTACCCACCTCTCTGGTGGAAGGTGTCCCTGCCCATGGCAGGGGGTTGGAACTACATGGTCTTTAAGGTCCCTTTCATCCCAAACCATTCTGAGGTTATTAAAAAAAAAAAAAGATAACATTTTGGGTTTCCAACCTGTGTTCTAGATATTGGAGTTCCACTCTCTACTCCTTGTGTTTAACTGCTTAATTAATTTTATTTCACAAACCATCCCACCCTGGATGACATATTCCATTTGCAGGTGCCAGCCTGGCCTGCAGCCCCTGCCCTCCTGCTGGCTGTGGCTGCTGGATCCCTGCTGGGAAGGGCAGGGATGGGGCTGTGCCACAATCCCCCACAGAACACAGGAGTGTGTGTGCATCCAGAAACAAAACCCACACGATGCACAGCAAGCACTGTGCTCACTGATCCACCCAGGAATGCTCCTGAGCGCTGAAAGCTGTGCAGTTCTGACAGCAATTCCACACTGAATCCTTTCCTGGGGCATCACTGTTCCTTGCTGTACCGAGTGCAACTCTACTAACACGGTAAAAAATGAGTCCTTATGGCTTTTTGGCCCAGAAAGCAGTTCAGCTTCTCCATCAGGAAGCACAGGATGCCTGTCACTGGTAACAGATCAAATATCTCCACCTGCATTTATCAATGAATCATTTCACTGCTTTTTATAACGTAAGGAACATTATAATGTTTCAATGTGGGATGAACATTGTATATTTTCAATGTGTATATTTTCAATGTGTATATTTTCAATATGTATATTTTAGGCAGTGCACAAGCACATTTTTTCCTGTGATTCCAAGAAATGCTTTGTCTTCTGGGGCCAGAAGCTCAAACAGGGGCACAGGGGGGGGAAGGTGTGTGAGCCACTGTCACCCCCAGGGACAGGGAGCTGGAACTCACCTTGGCAAAGGCATCCCTGCCATAGGTGGCCTCCTGCTCCGTGTGCTGCTTGTCGATGACGTCCCTGCCCGTGGCCACGGTGCGGAACAGCAGGGCCTTCTCCACCATGTCGGCCTTGGTGGAGAGCAGCTCTGCGATGGTGGACACCACCTGCCCGTTCTCGATCGCGGGAGTGTCTCCATCCACGGAGAACTTCAAGTTCCCCTGCAACAAGCAGTGAGAAGGTGGATTTCTCCATGTCCTTTCGTGCCCAGGAATTGCCCGATTTCCTTTGCCCGCCCCCATTTCCACCCGTATTCCACCCGCTGTTCCAGGCAGTCAATCTCCTGCCACACTGGAAGGGTGGGCCTTGCATATCCATGTGCTCACAAAGCTCCAACATCAGTGGAAGCAGCAAAGCCTGACTCAAAGCAAAGCATCCCTGCCCAGTGTTCAGTCCAGCTCTTGGGAAAAATCACATCAAACACCTCCTGAGATTTAATCAAACACCATCTCAAGGTTGAGAGTCCAGGGATGGGAAATGACACTCTGGATATAAACACTGGATGTATCTTCACTGCAGCCCACCACAGAACCACTGGCTGCAGTTCTCCTGCCCACAGAGGGAATGGGAATGCTGTGGGGAAGCTGGCAGGTCAGTGCCATGGGGACTGGACTGGCAGCACTGCACCTCCACAGCTCTGCTCCCAGGTACCTGCCCTGCCAGGACTAAGCACTGTGTGACCCCCAGGACTGGGTGCTCTCCCATCCTGCCTGTTCCCCACTCTGCTCTGCCTCTGTTCCCCCCCAGCACTGGGGCACAGCTATCCCAGGGAGGAGAAGGAGCTGGAGCAGAGCTGCAGTGTTCCTTGCCACCCTCCTCTCTCCTCGAAGAAACACAAGAGCTGAGCTAGAGGGACACTGCACAGGGGAGGAGGCTCTGTGGGTCCCAGGAGAACCCAAGCCATTCTAGGGTTTCCTGAGCCTCAGAACATGGAAAACTAAGAAGTCTCCTGTGTGCCCTGTGCTCAAGCCTCACCATGCAGTGAAGCACTGTCCCTGTAGCAGAACCACCACGGGGATGGTGTGTGAGGGCAAAAGGGGACAGAAGCTCCCCACCCCCTCACTGCCAAACCCCAACAATTCCTTTTTCAGAACATTTAACAGCTCCCAGTACTTAGTGGTGTGTCTGGTTTGGGATCTGGAATGTGCAGGAATACATGTGATCTTCCATCCTCCCCGTGTCCTGTCCCAGCCAGGAGTTGCCCTCACCACTGGGAGTTGTGAGCTGTGCAGACTTTCCCAGCCAACAGACCTTCCAACTGCTTCTGCAGCAGGAAAATTCAAGCTGCTGGTAGTCCAGGAACAGCCCAGGGATACCCAGGAGCAGGGACCTTACCAGGTGGAGAATGGCTGCCACGATTTTATAGACAGTCTGGATCTCCTCTTGCTTGAAGCCAATCACTTTCATGGCATCAGCCACTGCTTTGAACTCGGCACCATCATTGATGGAACACTGAGGGCAAAGAGGAGTTTGGGACAGCATGGATTTAATGGGATTCAGCAAAGATTTCCCAAGCCCATGGGAAACAGATATGTACTTTGATATATTTCAGATGCAAGACACTGCCATGGGGTTTCCCGGTTTGTTCCAATGCCATCTCACATGCTTGGACACTGAACCCTGCACTGCACACACACGTGTTCTGGCAGGTAAGATACAGACATCCACCCCAGCACAACAGATTTCCCAGTGGAATTCAGTGAGAAAGAGCAGAAGTGGTTCATAAGAACACCCAGAGCAGCAGAGACAAGCTGTGCCCTCACAGACCCTCCAGGCAGGAGCTGCAGAGCACCAGCAGGAAACCTCTGCTCTCCACCCTCCTCTGCCTCCCTCCTTCCCAATGCCTGGGTTTGCTTTCCCTGCAGATTTCCAGAGGAGCTGATCAGGCATCTCTTGGTCTGTGGGTTCCTGTGCCAAGGAAAGCCACTGGGACATCAGAGAGCCTTTTGTTTGGAGTCTGCTTCCGAGGGACAACACTGGGGACAACTCCAGCTGCATCTGAACATGTGGTGAACAGCACCTCTGCATCCCTGCTATGGAGCCTGACCCTGCTCTCTTTTCCTTCCTAATTTCCAGGAGGAGATCCTTGTTCAGTCAAGTTTAATCAACCATCTGATTGTTTGACTTTGGACACACTGGAATTGTCTCCTCCTGTGCTCTGGAAAGACACCTCCCAAAAAGTGTCTGGTATTTATGGATCTCAATACTACTGAAAACAGATTCCCAAGGAATCTCACTAAATAGTTCCCTGTGCATTCTGTGGCCTGCTCTCCCAAAATCCAGGGCAGCACCTCTGCTGACAGCTTTTTTCATATCACCAAAGATTTAAAATGCAATCTTCTCATGATCACTGTGGCCAAGACAGGCACCAATCATCACCCTACCTCCATTCCATTTACCCAGGAGGTGTCTTTCCTAGTTGGCTTATTTTTTTTTACCTGTGTCAAGAAATTATCTTCAACTTGTTTCAGCAATTTTCTGAACCTCTTAATGTCTACTGTGTGACAGTCCCACCTAACAAGTTGAAGTCAAGGGCACCTGATCTTGTTGTCCTAAAAACTTCATGGGTTTGTTCCTTCTTTCCTTGAGGCCATGAAGACTAAATGCTTCAGTAACTGAAATGGTCCTACTGTAAAGAAATGAGTCCTTATGGCTTTTTGGCCAGAAAGCAGTTTAAGTTCTCCACTGTGGAATGTCTGTCACTGGTAATGGGTGAAATATCTACACCTGCCTTAATTAATACATAATTTTACTGCTTTTTATCATGTAATGAGTATTATAATGTTTAAATGTAGGATGCACAACTGTACTTGCATATACACAAGTCTATTTTTTCTATGATTCTAAGCACACACGTGCTTTGTCTCCAAGGGCCAGAAACTCCATTAAAAATAAAACACCAGTGTCACCTTTCCATATTCATCCCATAAATATTGGTCTCAGCTTCTGCTGGCTCAGCAGTGCTTTGAGCATTTCGAGCAGCACTTACAATTTTAAGCCAAGCTGCCTCCAAGCCAGGCTCACCTTGATCTGTGCCCCAGGACAGATGTAGCTGTAGGCTGAGGCGTCCTTCTGAAGGTGCAGGGAACGTAAGAGCTGGTCAGAACCTCCCTGCAGGAGCTGCACAAAGAGGGGTTTAAGAAATGGTGAATGAAAACATACAAAATCCTTCCTTTTTCTGTTTCTTATTCATCTGCTTCACAAGCAAAGTCACAAAAACATTAATTCCTGCTCCAGTATCTGGAGTCAGGAGCATAACACGTGTGGGATGCACGGTGTGGGGTGGTGGTTGCCCAAATCACTGTCCTTGTGAGTCACAACTGTTTAAAAAACCAGCCTGAACCTCCTCACAGACCAGCCCTGTTTACATCTGTGACATGCCACAGCTGTGTCTTGGCAACCACATTTCCCTTTGCTGCTCTGCACAGAGACTTTTCCATATGGAAATGACCTGTCCATGAGGAAAGTGCTAACATGCCATCGTGGAGCATCGAGTAAGTGGGGAAAAAATAAACAAACCTGTGTTTCCCTCCCTGCTAGGCTGAGAATCAAGGTTATACTAACAGGCCAACCATATCCCCCACAGGACACCCAGGCAACCACTGTACAATGTGGAAGACATTAAAAAGGACCTCCAAAAAAACCAAGGAAGTCAACTTGGTGTCATAAAATTACTTCCATATGCACTCAAGGCCTTAAGAGAAAACAGAGGGATTAGACTTGCTACTAATAAAACAGTGAGTCAAAGTCCAATGTCCTACCATATTTGTTTAGTCAGCCTCCTCTGGAGTTTATAGATGTGTTAATAAGGGACTGGAAGATGGAAAACAATCAATCTTCCCATGCTCCTTCCCAGCACAAAGAGCTAAAGGACCCAAGATCACCCAAGATGCTGCAACAAGGGAACCCTCCGGAAAACACAGGAGAGGGTGAGAGCTCTGGGCACTCTGGAAACTGGGCACAAGTGATTTGGTCCAGCAAAGGGGATACAAACCTGGTAGAAGGAATGGAAGCTCCTTTCTCCGGGCTGCTGCACAATCACACGGGACTGGGGGAGACAAAACACAAACGTGGGTGTTGTGGCTGTGCTTCCCCAGCACCTCCCTCAGACACAGAGCTCCCCAGGGCCAGGGCAGCCCCAACCCAGCTCCGTGCTGGGAACACCACTACACAGCAGGGAATGTGGAGTCTGAAGTCTATAATCAGAAAGACCAGCTTGTGTAACAGCTGCAATGTCCTACTTGCACCTAGGAATCCCGAGGGGTAATCGCAGGACTCCTCGCGTGGAAGAGTCAAATAAACGTCATTTCAGTTTTAGGATGACTTAGAATCACAGAATCATAGAATCAGCTGGGTTGGAAGGGACCTCCAAGATCATCAAGTCCAACCCTTGATCCAACCCCGCTGTGGTTCCCAGCCCATGGCACTGATGCCACATCCAGTCTTATCTTAAAAACCTCCAGGGAGGGAGAATCCACCACTTCCCTGGGCAGCCCATTCCAGTGGCTGATCACCCTCTCTGGAAAGAAATTCTTCCTAATATCCAACCTAAACCTCCCCTGGCACAACTTGAGATCAGCCCTTGCTGATGGTTGCCTGGGAAAAGAGACCAACCCCCAGCTGGCTCCCCCCTCCTGTCAGGGAGTTGCAGAGAGTGAGGAGGTCTCCCCTGAGCCTCCTCTTCTCCAGGCTGAACAGTCCCAGCTCCCTCAGCCTCTCCTCACAGCACTTGTGCTCCAGTCCCTTCCCCAGCCTCGTTGCTCTCCTCTGGACCTGCTCCAGCCCCTCCATGTCCTTCCTGAGCTGAGGGCCCAGAGCTGGACACAGCACTCCAGGGGTGGCCTCACCAGTGCTGAGTCCAGGGGCAGAATCCCTTCCTTGGACCTGCTGGCCACACTGTTCCTGAGCCAGGCCAGGATCCATTGGCCTTCTTAGCCATCTGGGCACACTCTGGCTCCTGTTCAGCTTCCTGTCCATCCCCACTCCCAGCTCCCTCTCTACCTGGCTGCTCTCCAGCCCCTCTGTCCCAGCCTGGAGCTGCCGGGGGTTGTTGTGGCCAAAGGGCAGGACCCGGCCCTTGGCCTGGTTGAACCTCATCCCATTGGAATCAGCCCAACTCTCCAGCCTGTCCAGGTCCCTCTGCAGAGCCCTCCTGCCTTCCAGCTGATCAACACTCCCCCCCAGCTTGGTGTCATCTGCAAGTCACTGGAAATGTAAAGCAGGTCCAGTGACTACAGACAAATGCTCAGGGGCCTGGTGGTCACCAATTCCACCCTCCTGGGACAGGCTGGTCACAGCACCCAGGGAATGCTCTGCTCTGCCACAAGGGCCTTGTTTAGGGAGCCACAGCTCCATCCCAGGGCTCTCAGTGCACACCAGGGTAACACAGTACAAAGACACTTAAATGCACCAGACAGTCAACAAGCAACAAATTCTTGTTTCATATTACAGGTTTGAACATATGAGAGTGATGAGGCACAAAGCTGTGCCAGGGCAGGGTCAGGTTGGATGCCCAGGCTCCCCAGGGCAGTGGGCACAGCCCCAAGGCTGCCAGAGCTCCAGGAGCGTTTGGATGATCCTCTCAGGGACAGGGTGGGACTGTTGGGGTGTCTGTGAAGGGCCAGGGGTTGGACTGGATGGTCCTTGGGGGTCCCTTCCAGCTCAAGATATTCTGTAATTCCATGATTCTCTGTGTTCCTGCTGCAGTGCAAAGCCACTGTCTGTTAATGTTTGTGTTCAGGCCAGAGCCTCAACCGCTTTCAAATGGAAACAAATTTAACTTGGGAGAAGTAGGGAATACGACATAAACAATCAGGAGGAATAAATCATCAGGATTTAAGTTGGTGCAGCTGCAGTCCCAGCCCTTTTTCTGCATCAAAGTATCCCAAGTTAAATGTTTGGGTTTGTTGTTTTGTTTTGTTTTTTAAATTAAGTGTTTATTCTGAAAATAGACTTCAGGGAAATAAAGGGAAGAGCAAAAAAAAAACACAAACAAAAAGCTGTTGGCAGATGTGGTCAAACACATAATTAAAGCCAGACATGTCTCACACAACAAGAACTGTTAATGGCTCACACCCCTTTTCTCTACACTTTTACATATCCCAATGTTTTCAGACATCACTTAATGACACGAAAAAAATAATTATGCTCAGGATCACTTGGAATACATAAAACCAATGCTACTAAAACACCACACAAGGCTGTGGCTTTGTTCCAAAATAACACTTCTCAAGCAGACTGTTGCTACTGACAGCCCTGGAGATCTCCTGCTGATCCAGCAGGGAGATCTCAGAGCCGGGACTCACAAAGGAGGAGTTGTGCAGATGGCAAATTGTAACCAGAATTAAAGCTGAGATTAAAGTTCACACGCCCACATGCACAGAAGTGCCTGAGTAATGAAGTCTCTTTCCTGGTGAGCTCTGGAAGCCATGGTGTCCCAGGACAGGGCACTGCAGGGACTTTAGTGACTCCTGAGGGAAAATTAAGCCCTGGATTTATCTTCCCTGCCCTCACACCTCACCTGTCTGAACAGAAAACCTTCTGCTGGTAAAGCCCATATTGCAAGAGTAACTCCAGCCAAGGCTTTCACCTGGCAGTGAGGGGGCCTTACCTTTTCTAGCAGGTAATTATTGATGTGCCCACCTATTGGGTCTCCTTTAAAATCAAAGTTGATGTCCATGTACTTCCCGAACCGGCTGGAATTGTCGTTCCGGTTTGTCTTGGCGTTGCCAAAGGCCTCCAACACACAGTTGGATTTCAGCAGGATGTTCTTCACTCTGCAGGATGGAGGGATGGAAGAGGGAACAGGCTAAGTCCAGACCAGAACACTCAAAACCATGGAATCTGTTCCACGAGCATTTCTGGGGAAGGATTCAGCCCTTTGCTGACACAGCTGGGCAGATGTGGACGACATCAGCAATCCCATGGGAAAGCAGCTGGGAGCTGCCAGCAATGCTCCCTAGAGCAAGCAAAGGCTCTTTGCTTCAAAGACCAAATCCTGACTCAAAACAGCATCAAAAACTCAGCTCCTTTCCACATTTCAGTTTTGAAACCAACTTATTGAGGTCTTTTGCAAAGTTTATTGGAGGTTGGTGTTAAATCTGTTTCAGCAGAAAGGCACATTCTTTGTTCTAATGCTTTTACTCCAGGACTAACAGGCACATTTTGCAAATCAGGAGCATGTGAGGCTGGAAGCTCATGGAATACACTCCTTGCACTCAACATGCTGTCCTAATGTGCCCAGACTTCGGGCAATTTACCCCAAGAAAAGTGATTTACAACCACTGGAAAAGACCTCTAAGATCATCAAATGGTTGGTATTGCTTGAAAGGTACCTCTAGATACTGGGGTTTTTTAATTTTTCTGCACAATTTTAGCAATTAATATTGCAAAATTCCCAGAGTAAAAGCAGTATCTGAAGAAGTTGGGGAACTGCTGTAAAAATCAGCATATACAAGACACCCTCAGCTACAGAGCCCACTGAAAGAGATCCCCAAATTTCCCTCATTTGCCAGGCAAGGCATTACCTCTCCACCTCGGCCCTCTGCCCAGGGTTGGTGATGGCTGCAATGTACTGCATGATGTATTTACTGGCCTCAGTTTTCCCAGCTCCACTTTCACCTGGGGGCAGAATCACCAGGGTGACCCAAGAGATGAAAAAAAGCAAAGCAAATCACTGCACAGAACATCTCAATTCTACTCCAACAACGTCGGGGGGGGGGGGGGGTTGATTTGTTATTTTAAAACCATCTTTGTGTGCACTTGGGGCATTTTCTAGACCCTGTGGCTGTGCTGGCTCAGAGCAATTGTGATGTGAGACTTCCCAGGTCGGGAACGGGCCTGGCACACAGAGGATCAAAGGAATATTGTTAGAGGAGAAAGCCTGGCTGGGCAGGACAAGGGGCCACTGTTCAGCCCCCCAGCTCGGGGCTCTCGCCTTTCAGAGCTCGGGGACATCAAGGGAAGGAAGTGCCAGGATCCAGGCAGGGAACGAGCCCAAACCAGCTCAGGGGCACGACCAGCAGGTCCTGAGCAGAGACAGGCCCTGCTCTGTGGATCCCTGCAGGGGGATAAGGCTCCTGCTCCCATTATCCCTCTGCAGGCACAGCCCCAGCTCCTGCCTGGCTGGGAGAAGGCTGAAGGACTGAAGGAGAGAAGAAATAATTGCGACGTCTCCACACACGGACTCGAACGCAAACGAGCCTTAAGACCAATGAAGTTTTTTCCTTTATAGCCAAAAAAAGCATCCTCCTCCTGCCTGGGATTTCCCCAGGATGTCCCCAGGCCGGCCCAGCTCACCTGAGATGACGATGCAGGTGTCCTTGGAGCGTCTCTTCATGGCCTTGTAGGCGGCGTCGGCGATGGCGAAGAGGTGGGGGGGCCTCTCATAGAGCTCCCGGCCCTTGTACTGCTCGATGGTGTCCCGGCCGTAGATGTTGAGGTTTTTGTAGGGATTCATGGAAACCACCACCTCCCCAATGAAGGTGTAAATCCTGCCCTTCTCAAACCTGCCCAGGGGGAGACAAAAAGGGGGGAAATGAGTCAAATGGAGAGGTTTGGAACACACCTGCCCAGAGTCCAGCAGTGAACTCTGATCCATGGGAACACCACAATAAAACCTGGGCTATGGACACTCCCTGGATGGCACAGCAGGGACAGAGAGACCTGAGGGTGCAACAACTATCAACTTTTAGTTTAGCACCTACAGAGGACATTCCTACTGCTGCTTCACTGACAGGTGCACAAGATACAATTTACTGTCTCCACAGCTGACAAAAGTCAACACAAGTGTGAGGAGCAAATAAAATCTGCTCCATAAAGGGGATTTAAAGGCAAATTCTTTTTTTCACGTTCTGCAGTTGTCCATTACCCAGCCAAAGGCCAGAGAAGCCCCTCACTGAGAGGTCTAACCACACTTGGAAGAAAATAAACAAAGACAGAAGCCCAGGAGGGAATTGCAGCCTTTCAGCTCCAGCAATGAGCTTCCACCCCATCCTTTTTACTGGAAGGCACTGTGGTATCACCACTGCTGCTAAACCAGAGGGGAAAGATTCCTAAGAATGTGTAAAAACAACCCTAAACTGCATCTTTCCTAAACCCTACCTGGCCCTTGGATTCTTTCTGCAAACAAGACAGAAAATAACTGGAAGCTTGTTTATAAAAAGCGTTTAAGTTAAAAGCTGTTTCCAAGGAAATCCACATTTTATTGGAAGTTACCTGTCAGGAGAGCTCAGAGGAATTCCAGGTTAACAGCAGAAGAATTTATACAGCCTTTGCTTCTCAGGAGGAGAAAGGATGGCAGGAGATTTCGGGATCAACTCCCAAACCACGGCACTTGTACCAAAATTACCTGTCTGCAGCTGCACTTAAACCTCACAACATTAGATGGCACCAGAACCCCTCCAACAGAGCCCAGGGGCCTCCAATCCCTCCTGGACTCCGGCACAAATTCCAGCATTACTTTATTGAATTTATTACCACCCCCACGTGGTGACAGCCCTGACATTTTCTATTGTTCATTTGAGAATTTTCTGCAGCATCTTGGCAGTCTCAGTTTTTAGCAGGTGTAATAAAACTCAAGAAATATCATCCAGCAACCAGCATTCCACTTTCTGGGAGCGCTTGTGCCTCCAATTCCAGCTTCCTCCTGAAATGCTGCACTAAAAAGACACAAGAACTGCAAAATGTCTTCTTCCTGCAATCAGTTTTAACTGAAACTGTCTCGATATGCATTTCTCAAAACTTTAAATGCAAAGATATTTTTGAGATATACGCTGTTTGAAAGCTACCAAAAATGTTTTAGAAAAGATCACCTTAAAATAATTACCAATATGAGTACACCTGATTTTAACTCTGAGAAGCACAAAGCAGGTGGGAATTGTGGTATTTGGAAGATCCCAAAGAGGCAGAAGGTGCAAAAAGGATCAGATACCAGGCTCCTGCCCTCTCAGGAGCCCTTCAGGGACTCTGCATATACATAGGAGAGCTTGAAAAACCAAACCCACACAATACTGTTGCTATTAAGGAGATCAAGTCACACATAAATATATAATGGAAACCACTACAGGGACACCACAGTCAGCAGAATCATCCCATCTTCTGGAGTTGGACATCCAAAGAAGGTGAATTATTCACTGGAGAACACACAGAGTGCTCTCCAGAAGGCCCTGCCCAGCAGCACATACCTGCTGCTCAAGGCACTGTTGATGATAAAAATAAAGATACAGCAGTTTGTGGGTGAGTTTTTAAGCCCCACGGTGCTGCCACAAACACGGGTGAGAGTTCATGGCCCCAGAGAGGCTAAAGGGAGGGTTGTTCCAGCTGCTGAGAAGAAATAAAGGAATAAAGGCCCATTGTGCCAAGTCACCATCACAGCACCCAATACTCTGACCTCTTCCTTAAGTAATGAATTATGTAAACTTGCACTGGCAGAGCCCAGTTTAAGTTTCCTCTTGTGGCAGTTCGGTGTCCTTGCCTGAATCCCAGAACCATGGAACATCCTGAGCTGGAAGGGACCCACAAGGATCATCAGAGAGTCAAGCTCTGAAAGGTTTTACTGGGCTCTGACAAGTTGTGTCTTCACCTCTGTGGCAAAAGGCAGCTGGAGGTGAGGGAGAAGGATCCATCTCCAGGCCTGACAAATAGACCTGTGTCCAGCTTGGCTCTAAGGACCCAGACTTTATGAACAACTGATGCCCCCATTTTTACCTCTTGCTTCATTTTTCTTTACACTTCTTAGCACTGGAGTTCAGATTCCAGAGCTGGGCTCAGATGTTCCCAACGGGAGCCGCGGCTCCTCGCCCCTCCTGGCTGATAAAGCCCCTTTTCATCCCTCAGAGCAGCCCAGGCCAAGAACAGCAGGAACTGTTTTCCTGCTGGGAGAGCCTGGCCCAGGGAGAACTTGTGGAAACTTAAGGAAACAACCCACCAGGGCAGTGGAAACGGGGAGCAGGAGCTGTGTTACAGCCACTGCTCTGCAGGGCAAGGGCACAAATCAGGTCAACGAAGCTCTCTGGTGCTTTTTGGAGAGGCTCATCCCCCATCTGGGGAAACTCATCCACACCACGGCCACCACAGCCATTCCAGGGCTGAGGTTTAGATGCAGAACTGCACTGGTTTTTATTAAGAGGAACAGCAGCAAGTCTGCTAAAGGGAACCCCAACATGTACTCCTGGGGCAACACCCCCACGGTCAAACCTTGGTTTGTGTCTCTCATGGAAATCACGTCAGCTTGTGCTACAACAAAACATTTCCCTGTAATAATTCCATTGGAATTATTTCTGTATCAACGTCATGGAATCACAGAATATCCTCAGAGGGAAGGGACCTCCAAGGATCACCAAATCCAACCCCTGGCTCTGCCCAGGACACCCCAGCAATCCCACCCTGTCCCTCAGAGCGTTGTCTAAACGCTCCTGGAGCTCTGGCAGCCTTGGGGCTGTGCCCACTGCCCTGGGGAGCCTGGGCAGCGCCAACCACCCTCTGGGGTAAGAACCTTTCCCTGAGATCCAACCTGACCCTGCCCTGGCACAGCTCCAGGTGTTCCCTGGGTCCTGTCCCTGCTCACCCAGAGCAGAGATTGGAGCTGCCCTCGGGAGGAGCTGCAGACCCCAATAAGTATCCCCTCAGTCTCCTCTGTCCATTAGCTCAGCAGCCAAAAAGAAATTCAGAGTACTTAATCCCTGTGAGTTATTCTGAGGAACATCAGCTCTTCCATGAGAAGTTTTTATACTAGTTTTTATTACCTCATTAAAACATCAATTGATAATGAGAAAATAAAAAGCAGTGAGTCACAGACTATAAATCACTGAAAGGAAGAGAAATTATTCTCTAAGAAAGAAGACCACTAAGGCAAGAAAAAGGCTCTTACTTTGTTTTGTAGTCTTTATGTTAAAGGAAGGGAGTTAAGTCCTGACACCCTATGTTCACATCCAGTTCCCCCTGGAAAATCCACTGCAGGAATGGGAGCACTGGAGCAGAAATCCTCACCAGCAGAGAGCACTCAACATTTAGGATTTCCTCCACCTGACAAACACTCCAGTCAAAAATAAAACCGTTCTTACCAAGGAAATGATGCAACTTCAAATGCACTCAGTACAAATAAAGAAAAGAGTTAGCTGGCAGGGCTTGGAACTCACACTCCCAAACAACATCTGCAGGACAGGGACCCTGCAGGACAGGGACCACAGCCATCCCCTGAGCACACACTTCCAGTTCATCTGTGAGCAGCAGCAGCAGCTTAAAGTAAAGGAAATGTTAACAAAAAAAAAAAGGGAAAAGCAAATAACTCAGGACAAATCAGGAGTGCTCCAGAGGCACTGGGTCACAACTAACCTAGTCCCATTGAAGGTGAACAGAATAAAAACTGAGGGTTTCAAATATTCTGTATTTCCAGCTTATCTGTGAACCCCAGGGCACAAACTGAAATATTGAATATGAAATACTGAGTATGAGCACACAGATTTTTCCTCCTTCCTCCCTGTGCATGGTAAGAAGAATAATCCAGCAGCTCCACACCTCTGGCACACAGAGGGACAATTCCTTTCCCCTTTGGAAACACCCCATGTGATTTGGGTTACTGTCCCAAAGGGGGTAACAAGTCTTAGTTATTTTTTACCCCCAAATGTATACATTAAACTCCAGTCCTGCAGGCTTTGAGTCCCTTCTCTTTGCAAACACACGTGAAGATATTTAACTAAGCCTCGTGTTCATGAACAGTCAAGGATGGGCCTTTAGGATGTGCTCACCAAGAAGGGAATTTAAGCAGAACTTCTGGCAGTGAAACCATATTTACCTGGTTTTAAAGGTGAGAATGTGTACCCTGCACTCACACACGGCAACAACCATTCCCCTCGTGCTTTGGGAAGCAAGTGACTACTAAAAGCCACTTACCCTGTGTGCCTCAGGCACTTGTGCCTTTTCTAGGTGATACTGGGTCTCTCTGCTGTGAGTCCAGTGCTACTTAAAGACTTTATTTAGGTAAATCTCAAAATAAACTCAGCTGTCAAGCAGGACTTCGAGGCTTTCAGTAAATCGCTCACAAAGTGTCTCACAGCAAACCAGCCCCTCACAAGAGCACTCAGATAAACAGGATTTGCGTTGGCAGAACTATTGCTAAAATATTCTTGCTGCTCTTGGAAAAACAGCCCAAAAAACTGTCCAGTCAGTACAACCCCCCTGCACCGGGAAAGGATCCAAGCCTGTCCCGATGGTGAATATGCATGTCTGCAGCATCAGAAGATCTGTGTCTACAGGGTTCTGACCCACCCCGAGGGCCAGAAGAGCTGAAATGAAGCTCATTGAATGTGCAGGTGAGGCTTTTGCTCGCAGTTGGCCTGCAGGGCTCGGCTCTCACATGCTGCCAGTTTAACAAAATAGGAAATGCCATTGGGAGCACCACTCCTTTCCTGTGCTGGGGGAGCAGACGGGGCAGGGGGAGGAATCCTCCATTCACCCACAGCCCTCAGCCAGCCTGGGGAAGGAGGTTAAAGGAGTTCTTTGTAATGAT